TTAGAGTTAGATGGAAAACATTTCAGAATGGCATTTACACCATTTATTTATGCAGGAATGGCTGTCTTGGAGGTCAAAGTAAAATCTTCTTTAGATTTACCAAAACTATGTAATATGAAGACTGACTTAAATAATCCATTCAATTTGTTTCAAATCAGTCAGGCCCTTGTGCTGCCTAGTTGATGGTAGGGCTGCAACAACTAATCGACATAATCGATTATTGAAAAAGTTGACAACTTTTTCAATAATCGATTATAGTCGATTAGTTATTGCAGCCCTAGATTTGTTGTATTCCTCTATAGCTGGCGGTATTCTGCATTGCGCTGTATAATGTGCTTTTGCTGGGTTTTGTAGTCCTCTATAGCCAGTGCCATTCTGCATTCATTGCTGTATAATGTTACACTTTCCATTTCACTATATTGCACACCACACTATCTTTTTTCTTTTTTACTTCCACCGCTCCAAGCTTGCTCCTGTGATGGACTACAATCTCAATACAAACTAGTAGTTCTATCACTGGAGCCATTTTTTAAACTTTATTTTATTGTTTATCCGATTAACCGATTAATCGAACTTAATAATCGGCTAACTAATCGATTTTGAAAATAATCGTTAGCTGCAGCTCTAGTTGATGGTACATCTGAGGGAGATTGTACAATGAGGTAGTATAGTGCATATCCAGCTTTTTTGCATCATCAACCAAGTCTTTATATCTGAATATGTTTAGATAGCTGCCAGGTATAATATATTTATTGGAGGTTTCCTCCAAAAGGGTTTCCCAAAGAAGCAACATGACCAGAACTTAATGCACAAATGGAGTCTATTATGAGGCGTGGTCAGTGAGGCCTGTTTACAATCATAACACTTCTGTTGGGGGTCTATAATGGTTTTCAGTGTTATGAAGGACATTTCTAAAGGTGCCCATACACTGCACGATTATCGTACGATAATCGTATGCGATCGGGTTTTCGTACGATAATCGAGCAGTGTGAACGGAGACGTGCGACCGTTTCTACTGTACGGTCGCACGTCTTCTGTCGAACCAGCATGTTCGAAAACCAGCCGGGAATCGTACGATTCTCGGCTGGTTAGAACGGTGCTCGGAAGATAAATGCTGAACGGGCCGGTGTGCGCACGCGCACACTGCCCGTTCAGCATTGCGGTCATCGGAAGCCCGCCCCTCAGGAGGGCGGGCTTGCGATGATCGAGAGTGCAATCTGCCTGTCCAAGATAGGCAGATCGTACGTTTTTTTAATCCCTTTACAACCATCGCAAGACTAAAGTCTTGCGATGGTTGTAGAGTGTATGGCCACCTTTAGGAAGACAACATACCAAGTTTAGCAAGAAGTAGATTGTATGAAATTATTGTGTTTCGCTTGGTAAAAGTGAGTTTCCTGAATGAAAACTGGGAATCTATTTTTATAGCTGATTTTGGCATCTCTCTCTCTCTGAAGAACCTTGCATTAAGGGGTCACTATAGTAGCTGTAAACTTGACACTGGGGGAAAAAGGGAAAGAAAGTGATGTGTCAAGCCTTACAAGCAATGTGCCTGGCAACATGGAAGGGTGAGAAAAAGAGCAATCAATCTGCTATTATCATAGTCTATATAGTCTTTTTTTATGTTTTGGATAGAATGAGGGTTTAACTTTTTCCCAGGGGAAGACGCCCATTTCCTGTTTTAGCTGAAGTTGGACTTTAATTGTAAACAATCAGGCCATGTTCACAAGTGAGCAGTACATGCAGGAAAGGGGGGTCAGAGGGTACGCAGTGGTGAACCCAACTCCTCTGTTTTTTTTACCTCTTCCTGGCCAGAGCAATTTCCTACATTTGCACACACGATAAAATCTGAATTTTTGGCTAGAAAACAGCTTCAGACCCCCAAACAATTTATATATTTTCTGAAAGCAGAGTCCCTGTAGAATGAAAAGACGCTAGTTGCAATTTTTTATGTTACACGTTACTTGTGCAAATGTTTATCAAACAAGTATTTTTAGGATAAAATACACTAAAATGAAATTTAGTGCACAGAAACAGAATATAATGCCCAATTTTTTGGTAAAATATAAGAGACGGGGTCACGTCAGGTAAATAGATAGCAAACATGTCAAGCCTTAAAATTGCGTGCATCCGTGTAACCGCAGAAATCTACAATAGCCAACATTTCCCATAGGCAACGCTTTTACTGGTCATCAGTTTAGTGCTAACAGTGATTGATGGGCCTAGAATTATTGCTCTCACTCCAATGTAGAGCTGCAACAGTTAATCGATTAAGTCGATTAAAAACGTTGGCAACGTTTTCGATCGTCGATTCGACGATTATGAAAATAATCGTTAGCTGCAGCCCTACTCCAATGCTCACGACGATATGTAACATGGGTGGCGCAGTTTTTGTTTTTGCACATCCGACACGTGTTTGAGTTGTATTTGCGTGCAGGTGGAGGGCGGGGGACTTAAAAAAAAAACATTTCTTGCATTTTTTTATGTTACTTAATTTTTTATTGCTATTGCATAGGGGCTAAAAAAACCCCTATGTAATAGCAAATATAATGTGAAAGATCCTCTTTATGGAGACATCAGGGGTCTTTCAGACCTCTAATGTCACTTAGGGACCCCAAAGAAGCTGGTGAAGCAGAGATCTGCTTCACCAGCTTCTTCTTCTGGCTCTAGGAGCCGGAGTCTGGGCCCACATCACATGTAATGCACATCACTTCCGGCTCCAGTGATCGGAGGAGATATCATCAGCTGGAAGTCGCTGATCTATCAGGGGAGACCCTCCACGCAAGCCGACGACAGCACCGTCTGCCATGGACACACACACACACGTCGCTGCACCATACAAGCGATCCGGCGCCTGTACAGACGCCGGATCACTTGTATTTAAACAGCAATTGCCTGCGGTTTAACCACTTCCAGTGGAGGATGTACATTTACGTGAACCCACTGGAAGTGGTTAATTGCTTTCCCAGCGGGAAGCCATTGAAGGGAAAATCTAAGCTTGGCCTGATTGTTACATGCAGCGTTTTGGTCTGTGCAGAATAACACATTTGCCAGCAAAGACCAAAGTGTGTACAGAGCTTTTCAGCTCAGTGTACTCTTTTAACCTTTTCACAGCCGCCGGGACTCCGTTTACATTTGGGACCGGCATGTCGGGCAGCTGTGGATGTGACCAGCCAACATCCACTCGCTGATCTTCTCCCTGCTCTATGGGACTGGGAGCGATGCTGATTGCATCACTTCCGTTCCGATAGCTGTCATTGCGCGGCTACAGAAGCCCAGCAATACGCTATTGGAGTGTGATTTGAGCTTATCTTGAGTGGTAAGGTGACACTAGGGGTCTTTTGGACCCCTAGTGTCACCTTAAAGAGTACCTGTCATTGCTAATATGCTACCACATAGGGGGCTTGTAAACCCCCATATGTGATAGCAATTAAATAAAGTAAAAAGAAAAATAAGTTTGAAAAAAAAATTGTATGAAATAAAATAAATGTTAAAATAATTTTAAAAAGCTTTATAGTCCCCGCGAGTGCATGCGCATTAACGCAAACACGCATCGGGTGCTTCTACCTGTGAAAATGACGATCGTGCTACACATGTTGGGTCTTGCTGCGCATGTCAGAGTGAGACCAATAATTCTAGGGCCAATATTCATGGATATCTCTAAACTGATGACCTATACAGGCTTTTAAAACGTCGCCTGTAGACAAATTGGAGTAGCATATTTTGTTGCCGTTTCACGGACGCACGCTGCTTTGTTTTTTTACCTGGGCATGTTAAGTAAAGCATGCCCAGTGCCCTCTTCTGGTGCAGATGTGAACAAGGCCTTACTTCAATAAAGCTGCAAATGGGCAGCCTGATTAAGATACAGAAATACTAAAAATGTTTGTATTAGAGTGCTCACTTTTGCATTAAGGTGCCTTGGTCTGATGAAAAACGTATGAAAAACAGCCAATGGTAGTGATGGTGGCCAAACCGCAGATCAGTTCATTGTTTTATATTTTTAAACTACACTTACAATAGTTGCAGCAGATATAATAATCTCTTGGCTTTAATCACTTTTCATTGCTGTTGAAATAGTAATTACAAATAGTAATGTACTTGTTTTTAGCTTTGGAATTAGTTTGGGGCCCAGAAATGCTATGCACAGCTTACTACAAACCTCCATGCAACCTCACCCCAACATAGCTAATCTTGCTCTTCCTCCATTTCCATTCCTTAAATGCCTTGGTATTCAGCAAGGTTTATTCTTCCTTCTGTTTCTCTCTCTCTCTCTCTCTCTCTCTCTCTGTTGCAGATAGTTACAAACAAAAGCATAATCCAAAAACAGCCGACAAAGGTACTTAAATGTTATTGCCTTTCACCTTACCTGTACAGAGTGTTATAAGTACATAAGATGAATAGGGCTAGGCTGTTCTTATTTGATACCAAACAATTCCCTTTTTAATGACGTTTGGCTGCAGATTATATGTAAATATTATACATACAATTTGCACAATATGTTCTATGTCTAGCTAAAGTGAGATTGTGCTTGTGACATTTTTTTTCTTTAAATGCACAACATGTAATATCGAAAGATACTTCACATTTATCTGTTTATGGGTTTGCTAAATATAAAGGTTCAATTACATTATTCATAATATTCAGGATGTGTGTTTTCAGGATGTATTAACGTGTATTGGCATTGCTGAAAGTCTGTGTAGACTGTTTATATTAATAGAGCACCCGGATCAGTCATTTGATCTTGGACATCTGTATGTTATATGATAGACTGATTGGGTTCATTTGTATAGATCTAGTTGTATTACCTACTAGTATGTTTGCATCCAGAAATTATGTCACACGAAAACCTATGGTGCTTATCTGTACAGTACACTGTATAAAGGCTTTGACTGAGTGAATCATTATTCCAAATGTTAAACTTAAAGGAGAACTATGAGATGAGTGATTTCCACTCACCTCATAGTTCTAGCCGACTGTCACAGGTCGGCTCAGTAGATCGGGAGGTGAGCAAACACATACCAGGTTCGCTCACCTCTCGATCCTGTCATGGCTCTCTGCCGTGACAGCGGAGGGGCTGGATTCCCCTCTCCGATCTGCCAGCGCTGACTGGCGGAACGGACGGGTACAGCTGGCTCCGCCTCTAGATAGGCAGAGCCAGCTGTCACTCACGCAGCTGGGCGGATCCCGTCATCTACATCTGGATCCTCTCCGGAGTCTCAGTATACCGAGAGCTGTAGCTCGCTGTATACTGAGCTTAGGGTAACGGGAGGACGCTAGTTTGTGTCCTCCCGTTACCCTAAGGAGAACTATGGGGAAAAGCCCTGACCCCATAGTTCTCCTTTAATGTGTACAAAAGCAACATTAAACTGATAGTATGAGTTACATTTCTGTACATACACTAGATTATCATCAGAGCTCACGCGGACCCCCAAAACCTAGGTCACTTTGCTACAAATTAGGGATGCACCGATACTAGTATCGTTGCCAAGTACACGTCCAAATGTTCTGATAACTAACCCGATACTTCCGATATCAGGAAGCCGGGCATCGAGTCATTACACACCCGCTGGCTTCCTTAAAGGAGAACTATGACATGAGTGATTTTCACTCACCTCATAGTTCTAAGCCGACCTGTGACAATGAGACTGTCACAGGTCGGCTCAGTAGATCGGGAGGTGAGCGAACACATACCAGGTTCGCTCACCTCTCGATCCTGTCACGGCTCTCTGCCGTGACAGGGGAAGGGCTGGATTCCCCTCTCCCCGCTCCGATCTGCCAGCGCTGACTGGCGGAACGAACGGGGGGAGGGGGCGGGTACAGCTGGCTCTGCCTCTAGATAGGCAGAGCCAGTTGTCACTCACGCAGCTGGGCGGATCCCCTTATCTACGTCGTGATCCGCTCCGGCGTCTCAGTATACCTCGAGCTGTAGCTCGCGGTATACTGAGCTTAGGGTAACGGGAGGACGCTAGTTTGTGTCCTCCCGTTACCCTAAGGAGAACTATGGGGAAAAACACTGACCCCATAGTTCTTCTTTAACCACTTGCTGACAAGGTGTTTACTAGAGCTGCAACAGTTAATCGATTTAGTCGATTAAAATCGACGATTGAAAACGTTACCAACGTTTTCGATCGTCGATTCGTCGGCTATCGATTGATTTCCCTGTTCGGGCTCTACACGCGGCCTGAAGCACACGCTGCTCACGTCCCGCTGCGCCCGCCGTGCTCACAGGACGCATAAGCCACGCCCACCGCACGCTGCTCCCGCCGTGCCGACAGGACGCCGAAGCCACGCCCACCGCTGAAGCC